CAAATGGTCAATTACAAAATAAATGAGGGACAAGGGTGAAATGTACAGCATGGGGAAAACACTGTAATGGAGGATCTATCAATAATACTGTTATAACTTTGTATAGTGACAGATGGGAACTTGACTTATGGTGATCATTTTGTAATGTATAGGAATATCGAACCAATATATTGTGTACTTGGAACTAACATAATGTTGTGGATCAATTATATCTCAATTAAAAAAAAGAGAAGTATGATGAACTTTTTTTGGGTTGGGGAGACAAGCTGTAGTTCATATATACACCATCGATGTCAATGTGAAAAGTTCCATAAGACAAGATTAATTATACCACAGAGCTGTGTGTACAGATAGTTGTTGAATGAGCCAGGGAGATGACAGTAAGTACTATGAATTAAGTAAAGGGTGGAGAAGTCTGAGGAGGTGGGACTGTACCTAAGCCCTGAAGAACTGAAATTGGATCAACAGGGAAGAAGCAAGGGAGTAGTGTGGCACTGAGGAACACTGAACAGTAGACAGTGTGTAGAACAGTATGACGGTGGTGGAAATAAGAAGTCGATTGGGAGTAGAGCTGGTCTGAGACCATGTTATGAAGTAGGCAAATTCCAGGCTCTGAAGGGCAGCTTACATTTAGTGAGTAAGAAGGGCTTGCTGAAAGTTTCTGAGCAAGAAGATGACGGTGTGGTATTTTAGAAAAGTGAATGCATCCTACTGTATAAATATGGGCTCAGGGTAAAATGGACCTGAATATTCATGTTGGCAATAAAAGAGGAAGAGAATCAAAAAGTAAAATTAAAAGAGATATGTGATTGCTAATTGAATTTCGGAGTCCAGGGAAAGGTATGAGAGACTGACTCTACGTTCTCAAGCCCCATTGCCTGGGAGAGAAATCGTGCCATTAACAGAAATAGGGAAGACAAAAGCCAGTGTTTCTGGGAGAGGTGATGAATTTGATTTTACATTAAAGTTGACATGATGAGAGAGAGTCAGATAAAACCGTATAGTTGAAATACTGGGACTAAATAAAGCTTTGAAAGAAATGAGAACCGTTGATGGCAACCCCAACTCTGTACCTTTAGACCCAGACTGCTCCCTGAATGCTCCATCTTCCTGCCCAAGAAGTGGGATGGAATAGTTTTCTAGTAGCGATGTAATGACTACTACAGGGAAATGTAAGAATGAGTAGACTTCTATTACTTGACTCAAACATTACATTTCATCTCAGTGGAATTCGTTTTGTTGTGCTATGGCTGAGAGTCATTTAAATCCTTGCATACTGTTTCGGAGTGTTGGATTCTGAAAAAGAGGTCTAAGGTAGTGTTCTGGTGAGCCACCTTCTTATAGAGTATATTATCGTCTTTATAGTTATTAATAAATGTAGCACTTAATATTTGAGTTTGAAATTTAGTGAACTAGTTTGTATTCTATTATGTAATTGTACATGCCTCTTTTTTAGCAGTTCCAATATTGAAATGTAATTATTTGAAACCTCTGTAACATCCAAGGGAGAAAGTATATATTTTAGGGTGAGGGATAAATTTTATTTGTCCTGAGGAACTGGTATGTATCCTCTTCTCTGTTGGTAAGAGAATGTTGTGATAAAAGTTCTTTGTGTTCCTCTTTTTATTTATTCTGTTTCCCCAGGAGCTACATTTGATGCTGAACTATATATTTATTGGTTAGTACTTTTTATTTTTTCCCTCTTCTAGACCTGGACTTTCTCTTACTATTCTGTATAATAATAATTAATAATATAATAACAGTGTACATCTCTTATTGTAAGCCAATGCACATCTTTTTGGGGGAGAGAGAAGGTACAAATAAATTTATAACAACTATTAAACTATCCCCAAAGGGTCAAGACCATGTCCCCTCAGCACATGGAATAAGTCCAAGGACGCAGTAGATACGAAAAAAATATTTTGAATGCTCAGCAAGGGTTGAGAAAAGTCAGGGAGACTATCTGAGAGGGAAAACTAGAGATGCTATCTTGAAGGAAGAGGCATTTATGCTAGACTGCGAAGTGAATAGAGTTTTGGCAGGCGGGTGGGTTTTTTAGGGAAGGGAGTAGCACTAGCGGAGATGTGGAGGCAGGAGAGTGTGGAGGGAGGCCATGTCCTTGTAATGGTGAACAATCCATTTTGGAGAAGCGTGGGGAAGGTGAATGCACTGGTGGGTGGGGAGCTTGACTTACTACCGGTGTTAAGATTATCATCTGTGGCTATTACGTGCCCTTGTCTCTTTATCATCTTGTCTGGAGTGAGGCTGCAGAGTCCACAGGTCCAGGGTGAAAGAGTTCACGGGGACGAGAGGGCACTACTGTCCTCTCTCATCCCGCCCTTGACTCTTAGTCATTGATTCTAATCCTTTACTTAAAACGACTTAGCAGTGATGTTATTTTAACCCTGCTTAAAACCCAAGCAGTCCAAAGGCTGTCGGACAGTCTTAATTATTCCTTAGTTCACTCACCAGGAGGCCCTGAACATAAGGCACACTCACACCCAGAGGAAGCAGAGACCCACGCCCTCACAGAAAATGGATGATTTCATTACTCGAAGCTATTTGGATGAAATCTGGAGGTAATAAAGATAAAAGCTTTTATTTATTGAGCATTATGTGCCAAGCACTTCTCTCAGAACTTTATAATGATTATGTCATTTAATCATTATCACTGTCCTTAGAAACATGTATTATTATTGCCATTTTAGTAATGAGAAAAATGGACAAAACTTTAGTAGTATTTAAGTTCACACAATAAATGCCAGAGCCAGGATCTGAATCCAGGCAGTCTGACTCCAAACCTGAGCTTTTGGCAAGTGCATTATACTGATTTAAAGAAGCACATTAGAGAAGAGTGAGTGATAAACATGTTCTATAGTCAGTAGATGGTGACAAAAAAATTAAGAGTTATTGTTAAATTAGGAGACCTTTATATTTCAAATTTCTTAAACTGAGTGGCCATGGGCCTGTTGAGGCCATTTTTTTTTTTTTGGTCATGTCATCGTTTAAATAAAAAATTATCCTTAATACCTTTAGATGGAGTACACACTCTTCTTTTTGTGAATATCCCATATCAGCCCACAAATTTATTGCATTGGCAAATATGTTATATTAGTTGAGAATGTAGCCCCCGTCACTCAGGGCCCTCTTTGATTCAAGGAGGAAGAAGAAGGGATGAGGATGGTGCCCTCTATTTTTATCAGGAGAGGAAAACCTTTCACAGAAACCCCTGCAGTACACTCCCCTTAGGTTGCCCTCACTAGAACTGGGCTGCGTGGCCATCCCTCACTGCAGGGAAGGCAAGAAAGGTGGGGAACAGGATTTTCATGGTGAGCTTAGACCAGTCAAAATCTTCCCCCTGGAGCTGAATGCATTAGCGCACCAAACAAAATTGGGGTCCTATTAGCAAAGAAGGGGGATGGGTATTAGAAAAGGGATTAAGAATATCTGTCATCATTGTGTTCTTTAAAATTCTGATGGACTGTGTAGTACCCTCATGGTGGAATGATTCATCAGAATGAGCTAAGCACTTTAACAAACGTCCCCAAAATTTCAGTGGCTTAATTGATTACTTGTTCACAGTTCAGTCTATCCCGATGAGGTCCTTGCCGTTGCTCAGGGATCCAGGCTCCTTTCATCTTTCTCAACGGCCATCTTTGAACTCCAGCCGCCAAGATCGCTCTGGAAGGAGGAGAGAGTGTAGGGAAGGCACACCACACTGAACTGTCTTGGCCATCGTGTCAGGCACACTCTGTTGTGAGAACCAGGAAATGTTGTTTTGCTGTGTCTCCAGGGGGAGACAGTGGGTTTGGTGAGCATCGAGGCAGCTTCTGCCACCCTACAGTTGAGTGAAATCTAGTTGTCATTGAAGACAGTTGACAATATGGATAAAGGCATTCTTTACAAATGTGAAATTGGTGAGTTTCTCAAGAGATTATCAATAAAGGAGATTTATTGTCTTCTGATATTCTTAAAGGTATTTCACCAAATATTTCTCTTTATAGATAGTTAAAATATGGAGAGTTAACATCTCAAGCACATCATTTCCAAAAAGCCTTCCTGATGTCTCAGGATGACATCAGCCTGTTGTTTTTACTTCTGTGTGTGCTGCTCCTTGGCTTTAATAACCAGTTGGCATGTGTCTCATTTGGCTGTAAACTCCCAGAGGGCACAGACTATGTACAATTCATCTTTCAATACCTACAGTTTAATGCCAAGAAGGTAATCAATAAACATGTAGTTGAATGAATGATTAAATGGATAAATGCATGAATGAATGTATTGACAATAGTAAAACTGTGAATCAGACTAACGGGAGAAAAGGCTAGTTTTGAATTCATGAAAATTTTGATTTATAAAAACATGTTTTTCTCTTTATGAGCATAAATGATCATTTGAACGAGCTGCTCTCAAATAATTAACATGTAGTAGTCGCATCTGGTATACAAATGTTTATGAGGCAAAGATCTTAAGATTTTTTCATACATAGATTAAGTATACAGTTCAATTTGAGTGGCCTTAAATTTCACATCTGTGGAGAATAAGTTAGGTTTTTATTTCGCTAGTAAGATTTGTCATACTTACTGTTTTAATTGTCTGTTCATTAACCGAACCAATATTCAGTGAGCTCTTACTCAAACAGAAGACATTGATAAACACACTGGTCTGTAATTATGTAGCTGTATGATTTGTGATCGGAATGAACACTAGAAAGACAAAGAGTAACAGGGAGGACACGATTCATATTGGAGATTTAAGGACGTTTCTGAAGAGGTTCCGTCTGTCTGTGTTGAGGTGAAAAGGAAGAGTGAAACAAAGCTAGAGGAGAATTGGGAAAAAGCACTTCAGAATGTGTGAAGGTTCTTGGGGGAAGTGACTGACAGATGGGAGGAACTGAGAAAGAAGGTGGAGCCGTCAGGTTGGAGAGGGAGAGGCCGAGAAGTTGATAAGGCCAGGCCTCGGGGTCCGCAGGAGCCAGGTTAAGGCACTGGACCTTTGCCTTAATCCATTCAAAAAAAGAGATTCAAAAAAAGAGAAAAAGAGAACTTTGCTGTTTTAAGTAGCAATATATAATAAACCTTTTAGTCTGACGTTTTAGCCACCATAAAACAATAGAATATATAAATACCAAGGATATCTATTCAATAAGTACAATTTTTATTTATAAATTTAAAAAATACCACCACCATTGTAGCAACAATGGGGAAAAAAAAAAACCAACCCTGAAAATTTTGGTTACGTTTTGGAAGTTAGATTGAGAGAAATGGGGGAGATGGATTTAAATAAGTAGAGGACAAAGTAAGCAAGTTCGGGCTTTTTTTGTTGTTGTTTTTAATGGCGCTACTGGAGATTGAACCCAGGACTTCATGCACGCTAAGCATATGTTCTACCACTGAGCTATACCCCACCCCTAGAGGGAAAATAGACTTTGACCTCAAACTCACTTTTTAAATCAGAAATTCCAGATGAATTAAAGATACCAAAATAATGATAGCTAACATTTATTTAGCTTGTACTGTGCGTTAGGCCCTGATTTAAGCACTTTTTATTATATTGCACTGTTTACTCACTCAACCCTTAGAGCAACTCTATAAATTAGGAGCTATTTCCCCCCTCATTTTATAGTTAGGGCAATGGATGCTTAGAAAGATAATGAGTAGGTCTGCAGGCACTGTAAACCTGGGCATTCTGGCTCCAGAGTGTGTGTTCTGATCTATTACACACATACTGCTTCTGAAAGTTCTAGAAAAAAATGTTTATATAATATTGGTATAGGGAGGATCATTCTAATCATTCTAATCATGATTATAAAGCCAAAAGCAAGGGAAAAGATTGATAGATTTGACTACATGAACATATATTTATTTAAACTTTTACAATTTCCCCCAAATATAGAAAACAAAAAAACATAAATAAGAAGAAAAGGTTGGTAGTGTATGTAATAGACAAAGTGTTAATATTCTTTGTGTATGAAGCATTCTTACAGTCAATAAAAAAGAACAAATCCCCAAAAGAAAATAAATGGTCTAGGGCAGGGTTAAAACAAACTGGTCCTGGACTGAATCCAGCCCACATCTGTTTTGAAAATAAATAAAGTTTTATTGGAGTGTGGCCATGTTTATTCACTTGCATATTGTCCATGGCTGCTTTTGAGGTACAATGACGGAGGTGAATAATTGTGACATCAAAAGCTGTAGTGTTGATTATCTGATCCTTTACAGAAAAAGTTTCCTGACCTCTGGTGTGGAGGTATGTCATCCACTTCTGGTGGTCTTGAAAGACAAGAGAGAGTCTCTTCCCTTTTGAATGGCTTTAGG